ATCTTGGGGTCTTGTTCAGGAGTGAGGGAAAAATGGAGTGGCAGGTTGACAAACCGATCGGTGCGGCGTCCACAATAATGCGGTCTCTGTATCGGTCTGCTGTGGTGAAGAAGGAGCTGAGTTGTAAGATGAAGCTCTCAATGTATTGGTCGATCTACTTTCCTACCCTCACCTATGGCCATGAACTTTGGATCATGACTGAAAGAATTCCGGGCATGTTCCTCCGGGAGTAGGCCTCAGGGCAGACCCCGGACACATTGGAGAGACTATGTCTCCCGGCTGGCCTGGGAATGCCTTGGGGTTCCTTCTGAAGAGCTAGAGGAGGTGTGTAGGGAGAGGGAAGTCTGGGAGGCTCTGCTCGGGCTACTGCCCCCGCGACCCAATCTCAGATGAAGCGGATGAAGATGGATGGATAGATGGAATCCCATAGACTTAATCAAAAAATTTTAAAGACATAGCAGAGGCTGCTGCCTATCCCTTCAAAGTACATTAACAAATAACCCATATGTACACAAAAAGTAAGCAAAGTCATCTGCCCAACAGAGGGGCAGTGGTGCTGTGTACTATGATTAAGACAAACTGTTCCACTATGGAAATAATTCTGGCCTCATCAGACTCATAAATCCCCCTTGTGCTTCCCACCCACAGTGTGGAAGCTGAAGAAGAAGGCTGTTTCACATGCAGCAGGCTGTTACACAAGTGCTTGTTAAATAATGTCACTGTGTAATAGATACACATGAAATGAAATAACAGAATGGTACTTATTTAGAAAATCATATGAGATATCAAACAGGGCCTGTTTGAGTCTCCTGTTTCAGCAAATAAAAACCTAAAATGTTCATATTCCATGATTTTATATACAACTATTGTCTAAGACAGTGAACTGTGATACTGATTTGATAAAAAGATTTTAATTCTGCTTTCTCCTGAACGCTTACCTCACTTATAGCAGCGTTTTCCTCCTCCCCGTGACGTGCCGGCCTGTTTCCTGTCAGCTTCATTGACAGGCCGAAATCGATAATGACACACATGCCGTCAGCCTTGACGAGAATATTCCGGCTGTTCAAGTCCCTGTGGGAAACCGCTGGCTTGTACAAGTCTGTAAAATAAAATAAAAAACAAGAAGACAGGATCAGAACACAAAAGAACGAGGCTAATTTAAACCTATAATTTCAGCTGTTTTCATATTGTTTCCTAACATTTAGAAAGTCCCTTCATATAGCTTTCATTCCCACTGATCACTCAATGTTCACCAAAGCAAGCTGCATTGTCACCAGCCAGCTAAACCCTCTAATGTAATCTATAACAATGGGATTAAGACTTTATCAGTGTAGCCTCTGCCTGCAGCATGTTCCTGTCCAGCAGAGGGTGCGGTGAGGCTGAGCGACAGTCACCACAGTAATCTGCTGCCTGCCACTGATGTGCAGGAGGAGTGGGGGAGGATGACGACTGTGGCAAAGCCAGAGTGTGTCTGCTATTAGCAGCTAGGAATGGAGCTGACAAACACCAGCTCTCTCTCTCCCCTGTCACTTCTACACTAATAGAACAAAGGGAGTTGGACAACCCTCCACTTGTGCAAACAGAATAACTTACTGCATATTCCTTTACAAGGCTTTACACACTACTGAAAGTGCATGTTCCTCCCATCTCATTTCTAAGCCTATCTGATGTGTATCTATACTGATGAAGAGAAAGGAGGGGGAGGACCAAGTGCATCTGATGTGGCTTGGTAAAGTGATGGGGAAAAAAAGCCTCAAGGATCAGGTTCAGTTGTTGGTGCTCCCTACTAGAGCTGATTTTATTGAGCCACAAGGATATTTACGTCTTCTGAAGCCCCATTTCGCCTCTGCCTTCTTTCCTCCTCCTTTATCCCTCTCTCCATTTTTCACTCTTTCTGAGGCTAGCCCAAGGCCGGTCTATAAATACCCTTGGGCTGGGCGTGCATCCAGTGTGTTATGTGTGCATTTGTCAAAATGCAGGGATCCAAGGTGCTCCAAGCCAAACAGAGCCATGTGGAAGTGTGGTGTGCAGGCTGTACAACGGCTCAGGCATTAGGCTGTGAGACAGGATCAGAGTAAAAAAAAAAAAAAAAACACACAATATTGAAAGCCTTTCCAAATAATCTGAACTCAATGGGCTAAACATACAAAAAGCTTCCCTGTTTTCCACCACAACTCTTTGTATGTGTTTGTGTTTCAGTAGCAGATGGAAGCAGCAGCCTTGGAACTTGAGCCTGAGTAAACTGTGAGCAGTTATGTAATTAAATGTGCATGTGCGTGTGTGCGTACACCCTCCAACTCACCTCCTTTGAAGAGCTCGGTGTGCAGATACGCCAGGCCGCGGGTGACTGAGTGAGCGAGCCGGCAGCTGCTGACCCAGTCATTGGACTGAATGCTCAGGTAGTGACTCAGAGAGCCCTGAGGAAGAAATTTCGATTTCACATTTTCATCATTTCATTTCAACATACTTTAGTGGTCCCCCTCAAGGGGCAATTCAAGATGAAGTGGGTTCAAGGAGTGAGGAGCAGAGGAACAGAGGAGTGCCAAAGGTAAATAAGGTCGTTTACAATAAGTAATGCAAGTGAGAGGTGGAGAGAAAATACAGAGAAAATCAATCATGAACATCACTCTCAACATCTGACAAACAGACACAGGGGAAGAAATCGCTGACTTGGTGTTTATCACTCCAAACATAAGTCAGCTAACAGTTAAGTGATGTATGTTCAAACATAGGCATAGAGAAGGATGAATGACAAAGTGTTAGTTCAGTCAGTAGAGGGTACACTTAGCCAGCAGCAACAACAGTTTGCATCAAATCAAAGTCCCTGAAGAAAACTGATGGTGATGAATCTAGCTTCCTTGTGTAAAGAGAAAGCAGTCCCCTGACACCCTGTGTAAAAACAAAGCTCCTAGTTTCAGTTTAACAAGAGACCATGCCACAAAGAAAACGAGGAACATTCTCAAACCTGGCCAGGTCTCAGCAGTGCATAGGATCTCGAAACTAAAAAAAAACAGGCTACACTGCATCTTCACCATCAATAAAAACCTAAGAAGGTCAAGGACATCTTGGGGGAAAAACACACTGTAATCTAAAGCTTTTAAAAGAGGCTAACCTTGTGCTTTAAACCTCCCTGAAAGGAAGCAGAGTTTCACAATAAAACTGATTTACAGACTATTTTACCACCACCCGCAAAGGCCATGTGGCTGCATTAAGTTATATACATGAGAAAAAGTAAGAAATGTGCAATTCTGGTTTAAGAGTTTGTTGTATAGATGACGTATTATGAGGAATATCAACAACTCCAAAAATATTTACCAGAAATTGTACTGGATATTTTTTATTTCCTTCCTCGATTATCTCCATAAGCTGGACTGTGACGCACAAACGCACACACTTAATGTTTGCTCTCAGAATCAATCACAAGGCAATTTCGCATATCCGCTACTAAAGAAAATTACATTGGATCTGTTCGTTTTAAATAAATTATATTTACTTTAATGCATTATGGGTCCTGGTCTCCTGTCCTGACTTGCACTGCGTTTCCATGACAACACGTATTAGAGTAATGATTAAAAATTATGGGCTCCTTTTATAAGCTGGCTGGGAGTCACCTGACTTGTAATTATGAGGCTGAAGCCTGGATGGAAAAAAAGTGTTTTTAGGTACATCCATGTTAATGACGAAGGTCCAGCTTTCAGCAGTAAGTGTTGACGTTTTCATTCACTACACAAGGGCTGCGATGGGTGAAATGATAATTCAATTTACGATTCTACTCTGTCCTCTATCATTGTCATATTCAGATCTACAAACCCTGATAAAGGTGAAATTGAGCCCATCTTTCCCAGAGCCACTGCCAATTCATCCACCCTGTTGAGCAGACATAAATGGACTAACTCAGCTTAACTGCATTAAGTTCAATGCATCATCTTTAGTGCTGAACTGATGATGCTGATTAAGCATTTGGTCAACCATTAATCATTTTTCCCACTTGCTGGCCTGTAACAAGATTTCAAGTGCTTGTTACCACTGTGCCATGTAGAGAAGGTGAAGGTACATCATGCCATGTTGAATGTTGGGAAGGAGGCGTATTTTTTTTCGGGGTATGTGCTGTATTTACCTGCATACATTCTTATTTTGTTTGCCTAAAAGGCTGCTTGAATCATTCAGATCTCACTTTCCTGAATGTGGCAATTCAAAATTACTAACTTTAGCTGACTGTAGCTAACTTGAAGGGGACCTAGAGATCTTGTCCACGAGTGACAGACAGAAAAATGAAGGACTGACTGAAAAAATCTGCACACTGATCTGATCTCTCAGTTCAGGAGCTAATGCTAGCTAGCAACTGTTGGCAGATATCACTGCAGATGAATTAATTTCTGTCCTGTCTATGATCAAACTGAACACTAAACAAGACATTTGAATGTAGTTTATGTGTCTACTACTGTATGTAGGTGTATGGGATAATTTTGTTAAAATTAACTTTATACATACACACATACACACATATACAGTGGGTACGGAAAGTATTCAGACCCCCTTAAATTTTTCACTCTTTGTTATATTGCAGCCATATGCTAAAATCATTTAAGTTCATTTTTTTCCTCATTAATGTACACACAGCACCCCATATTGACAGAAAAACACAATGTTTGACATTTTTGCAGATTTATTAAAAAATAAAAACTGAACTATCACATGGTCATAAGTATTCAGTCCCTTTGCTGTGACACTCATATATTTAACTTAGGTGCTGTCCATTTCTTCTGATCATCCCTGACATGGTTCTACACCTTCATTTGAGTCCAGCTGTGTTTGATTATACTGATTGGACGTGATTAGGAAAGCCACACACCTGTCTATATAAGACCCTACAGCTCACAGTGCAAATGAGAATCATGAGGTCAAAGGAATTGCCTGAAGAGCTCAGAGACAGAATTGTGGCAAGGCACAGATCTGGACAAGGTTACTGAAAAAAAATTTCTGCTGCACTCAAGGTTCCTAAGAGCACAGTGGCCTCCATAATCCTTAAATGGAAGACGTTTGGGACGACCAGAACCCTTCCTAGAGCTGGCCGTCTGGCCAAACTGAGCTATCGGGGGAGAAGAGCCTCGGTGAGAGAGGTACAGAAGAACCCAAAGATGACTGTGGCTGAGCTCCAGAGATACAGTCAGGAGATGAGAGAAAGTTGTAGAAAGTCAACCATCACTGCAGCCCCCCTAGATATTACCAGGCATCTGAGGAAAAGTACAACCGGGTCATGTACAAACAAATGTTTTCTTTTTCACAGATTTGACACCACATAAAAAAGAAGACAGTTAAAAAAAGGGGAAGTGGCAAATTTACTGAATCTCAAAACTCAAAACTGCTTTGTGTGGTCACACAGCTTTCTCCTTCCCATTTTTATTCAACCACCAAACCTACAACTGCTTTTAAGAGAAGCACATTAAATCACATTTTTGACCATCTTTCCCACATTTTCACACCGACTCATCTATCTGGGTGAAACAGACCAAAATGCCACTGAAGCAAAATGACATGTTAAACATGACGACCAACGTTTACCATCCAACCTGACAGCACTGGAGAGGATCTGCAAGGAGGAATGGCAGAGGATCCCCAAATGCAGGTGTGAAAAACTTGTTGCATCATTCCCAAAAAGACTCATGGCTGTATTAGCTCAAAAGGGTGCTTCTACTAAATACTGAGCAAAGGGTCTGAATACTTATGACCATGTGATATTTCAGTTTTTCTTTTTTAATACATCTGCAAAAATGTCAAACATTCTGTGTTTTTCTGTCAATATGGGGTGCTGTGTGTACATTAATGAGGAAAAAAATTAACTTAAATGATTTTAGCATATGGCTGCAATATAACAAAGAGTGAAAAATTTAAGGGGGTCTGAATAATTTCCGTACCCACTGTATATATGCCCAGCACAAAACCTGAAAGATCTGGAGAAGACCTGTATGGAGGAGTGGGCCAAAATCCCTGCTGCAGTGTGTGCAAACCTGGTCAAGAACTACAGGAAACGTCTGACCTCTGTAATTGTAAACAAAGGTTTTAGTACCAAATATTAAGTTCTGTTTTTCTATTGTATCAAATACTTATTTCAGGCAATAAAATGGAGATAAATTATTTAAAAATCTAAATGTGATTTACTGGAATTTTTTTTGTAAATTCTGTCTCTCACAGTTGAGGTGTACCTACAATGAAAATTACAGAGCTGTCCATTCTCTGTAAGTGGGAAAACTTGAAAAATCGGCAGTGTATCAAATACTTATTTGCCCATATATAGAAAGTCACTTTCGGTTTTTCCCGTTTAGGGGAGCAGAGCTCCCCACTGACGCCTCGCATGTTGAAAAAAAAAAAAAAAAAAAAAAAAGACTCGCATGTTGACATTTGGCACGTGTTTTATGCAGGATGCCCTTCCTGACGCAACCCTGATTCGAAACCGGCCGCAGCAGTGAGAGCACTGCGCCTTAACCACTAGACTACCAGGGATAACAGATGAAAAGATGTGGAAGGTGAAGGCACAAGTGGTCCCTGTGGTAATACGAACATTGGGGGCTGTGACCCCCAAACTGGGAGAGTGGCTCCAACAGATCCCAGGAACAACATCTGAGATCTCTGTCCAGCTCCAGAAGAGTGCAGTCCTAGGAACAGGTAAGATACTGTGTAGGACCCTCAAGCTCCCAGGCCTCTGGACCCGAGCTTGACGGACGGAATACAAGACCGCCCCAAAGTGGGGGTGAGTGGGGATTTTATTTTGTACACGCACTATCTCTCTCTCTAGAGACTATGTGTCATGTGTGTCAACTATGTGTCATGTGAAGACTATGAATTGCATGGCTTTACGCCATTTAACAATAGTCAAAACTGTAGTAGTAGTCAAGGTCCAATCTAAGTGATACAACTGCTGCATTTCTAAAGAGTTCATGTACTCTAAGACACAACCATGGTTGTTTCGTTGTATACAATACACTGATAGCTGCACCTTGTTGTCACTACAGTCGCGGCGACCAACCAATCAGTCCCACGGTTTACTGTTCACTTACTGCTAATGCTAACCCGCCAATGCTATCATGTTAGGACAACCAAAACAGAGATGGAAGCCTGCTGTGTTTAACACCCTCACTCCTTATGTAAAATCCCCTGCACCCCCGAGTACTCACATGTGGGTAGTAGTCCATGACCAGCAGGTACTCCATGCGTCCCTCTGGGCCTGTTCGCTCATCAGCGGCCACAAACCGGGCGATGTTGTCATGCTCCAGCAGTGGTAGCCGGTAGATGGAGCATTCATTTATGAAGTTCTGGCGGTTAGTTGCAGTGAACACCTTCACAGCAACAGGCCGTTCATCAAGAGAGCCACAGTACACGGCGCCGTATCTGCCCCGCCCAATCAGCTGAAAGAGGAGGTGGCGGGACAGGAAGAGACTATTGATAATGTTGTTTTTGCTATGTTGAAACGTCAAGCAAAGATACAGCAAGTTTGCTCAACAAATGCAAAGCAGCAAAAAACAAACACATGAAGAGAGGTACAGACACTAATTACAACAGCCAAGCAGACAGAAGGGAGACAGGAAATGAAATAAATAACAAGTAAACAGCAGGGTTAAACAGTTAAAAGGGCTCTATGATGGTTCCAGATTATTCAATCAGTGTCCTGAATTAGCCAAAGTGCAGCCTACCATTAAGATGCAAAACGTTCTGCCTGAAAAGGCACATGTACAGGAGTAATAGCTGAAGTGAGGAGTCCATTTATTTCTGTGCGAATTCCACTTTTACGTCTGCTAAATACATTTATCTGTGGCTATAATATATACTGCAAAACACTTGGACGCTGTTTTGTCTGAGTAAGGCTCCCTGGTTCACCCCTTGCCAACTCCCCCACATCTCTGCAATGAGTCTGATGCGAAAGAACATGTGCATGCATTTGATAAGGCACAAGGACATTCAGTGTTCTGAATTCAACTCCTGCTTGAAAAGATACCACTCTCTCTGCTCTGCTCTGGAATGAAACATTAAATTTATGTCAAAAGAAGAAAAAATGCATCACCACATCTCTGTAGCTGGATTATTACAATCAGTGCTGAATGACTGCCTGTCTTTCTGTTTTGTCAAGGTACACAGCAGGATAAGCATTTTCTGAGACAGCTAACACAGAAGAATTCACACCACTCCATTTGCATTTGTAGTCATTTTACCTGAAATCACATGTAATTCATATTACAGTCGGCCGTTTTTAATAGCACACCACAGTTTGTTTTTCATGCCTTCAAGTAAGCCAGTGCCACTGATTTTGCCTTGTTTCAGTATGATAACCAACTTGCTGAGACTTGAAACTGGTTTGATAAGGCACCTCAGTGCTTAGTTCTGATTTTGTCAGCAGTGTTACTGTTGTGTGGTAAAGCAGCTAAAAGCAAAGATGCACTTGATAATAGTGCTGGTCTGCTGCACACAACAGATGAAATGCAAAAACACCAGCATGAACCTTTCAAAATAAGCACACAGAGCTTAGCTGTTAGTATATATATAAAATGCTGTAGTGCGTGTCCTTTCGAGGGTGTGTCATGCTGACTTTGCACTCACCACCTCTGTTGGAGAGTAGAGCATAACTATCAGGGTAAACATAAACTGCTGAAATCTATTCACTGTGTGCTGCTGTTGATTTAAGGCACCTTTAGACAGCACCGTAACAACAAGCCTGCATGTTTAAAGCATGTCACGCTGCTGTAGGAAGCTCATGCTGCTAACTCTTTTATGCTGCAGGTTGTGGCATCGCTGGTGCATTTTTCTGACGTGGCAGTGCAACGTTCTGACCCGTAGTCAGAAAGGACACAATTATGAGAATAAGACCCAGACTGAAAATGCCCCTTTAGGATCTCATCGTGTGGTTAGCTTGTAAACATCACAAAAATAGCCATCTTCCAGCTTTGGAAATTCAAGCTTTTTTGTGGAAGAAAATATGAGCTTATACAAGACAGGTACACTTTTCCTGCTTGCATTTTAATCCCTTCACCCTATTTGTACTACCAGTGTGGCAGACTATCATCCAGACCTCAACGACTTCCTATCACAATATGAGCTCTGCCACTTTGATATCAGGTTTTCAGGATCTTGTGTCAGTGTAAGCAAATTCCTGCTTCTGTGTGCCCCGGACCTGTAACTTAATGCGCCCTGCTATGATAAGTCACATTGAAATGACAAATGTAGCCGTAAACCGGGATGTATTTTGGGTGTATTTTTGCCTCAGTGGTTCCTCCTTTTTAAGTCTTGGTTTCCCTCTTTCAGTCCCTGACACACACCTGCTGTATGCAAAGATGCTGAAACCCAGCAGCTCCATGCCTGAACCAGTGACCAGTGGTACAAACCTTCGTCTACTAAAAACAGGCAAGTATAAATCCACAGAATTTGGGGGCTAATAATAGATGTAGTGAGCCATGTTGTTAAAAGAGATTTACTAAATGCTATTTTCATATGACCATATTGTGAAACTACAGTAAAACAGTTTATTTCCACAGCTCCCTAGCTCCCTATTGGCACATTTGGTTAGCTTTTTTTCTGGGCTAGAAAACAAACCCATTCAACTGATTAACAGATGACTGTTAATTGCAGAACTTGGAAAAAAAAACAGGCTGCAAGTTGGAGAGCTAGTCTAGACACAGAAGACATACAGAGCGCTGTGGGCACTGACCTCCAGCAGTTTGAGATTGTCTAGGTCCAGAGAGCTTTCAGAGCCAGCAGCTTCCACCATATTCAGGTTGTGAAGGCCTTGCTTGCCATCTCCTTTAAACACACACACAAATAGTTCAGAATTTATAAAAACATATAGATGCATTTAAAATAAAAATCAGCTCTTATTGCATTTATTAAATTTACTGCAATTCTACCAAAACATTTAAATGGCCTTGAATAATGAATGTCCTCTGCTCTTCCTCAAAGTGTGGCACCATGGTAACTCACCATGCATCATGCGGTAAGCAAAGAAAGCTGCCACAGCAACCACAGCCAACACGGAGACTGTTGCCAGGGCAATAATCACTGTCTCCTCGTAGCGAGGGTCTATAAGGGGGAAACATCAAAAACAAAAGTGCGAATCAAACTGTGTGACCTTTATACAGGAGGAGTAAATGATTGAGACCATGCACTGGCCTTTGATCTGTGAACACAAGTCATTGGGTTGCCAGTTTATTAGGTACATCTCTACAGTCAGATGCAATCCAGTGCAACAGAACTGCAAAAGAGCCTAGTGTATTAAAATCTGAGTCTGGTTTTCAGCTACTTGGATTAAAGATCAACACTAAGACGTATGAAAAAACAAAAGCGTCAAATCAATCAATTACTATATAAAAGATTTTTTACCTCCTTTAAAGTCATACATTAAAGACAGCTCTTGGTTCTCAATGTATCTTAAAGAACTTCTACAAACAGATTCAGATGTAGTCCTGTGCACTTTTGACACATTGAGTGCTTACAGTACATACTAACACCAGCTCAATAAATTACCCTCTACTTCTTTTTTGGTCAGTTTGGCTGCTTTTGTACTCAAGCAGAATTTGTTTTTAAACAATACACCACCAAATGTCTGGAACTGCCACACTTAATTATAGTCTTGAAGAAATTGAGTTTCTTGATGTATCTATATCAAAAAAAGATGTCCTCTCCTTATCCCTTTATGTAAAACAACATCAAGAGAAATGATGTTACTAACCCTGTTGCAAGACACTTTAATGAGTTAAAACATCCCATGTTGTATTTTTCCACAGGCATAGAGGTTGTTATGCCTGAGAGGTGGCAATACTTAAATATTTTTTTTTTTTTTTTTTTTTAGGAAAAAAGAGGCACTTTGGATTTTTGACTTTAAGAGTTTTCAATTAATGACTATTGTGGGGTCTAGTTTTTTGTGTTCATGTTCCAATTGTACACCATGTTGTTTCTCTTGACTATTTTGTTTTGTGTTATCTCATATATGTGATGTCATCTGTGTCAATTATTAGACCCACCTTTTGCCCCTGTGTCAGTTTGAACCTTGTTGTGTATCTTCAATAGACCCTGACGAAGGCTTTATGCCAAAATGCATTGGTCTTTTATCTTTGCATTGAAATTGCTTGGAACACTGGAAGTGTTGCCAGGCTTTTTGCTTTCCAGTTAGTTTTTCCTCTGTTTGTGCATCTTGAAAGTGGGCAAATTTGCACCAGTAACTTTCGGCTGCATTTGTATCATGCACTGGAAATGATATGCAAAGCTGATTATTGGTAAGAAAACACACAACACTTTTGTTAGACCTCAAGGATACACAATTTGGTTTAGTGAGGAACACTGAATGTAAACAGAACTTTTGTTTATTACCAAGAAAACTCCACATGGCACCTTTAATACTCAGTGAGCCACACCATAAGCCTCTTGGCTCTTTGGCTATGTCTGGATATATTGTTGCTCTGTGATTCCTTCCCCACCTGTTCTTATTTACATTTTATTATTCTGTGTTGTACAGTGAAAAACTAGTTTTGAAGTCAGTGTCAATTGTGGGTAATAATGAAAGGTACCTAATATTTTTTTATATGAAAAAGAATTGCCTTTAAAATTCCCATAGTGGGTTTAAGCATGTTACCTGAATAGAAGCAGGCATAGAGAATATCTGCTATATTGTAGACAACACAAATGTCTTGGGGACGCAAGTATGTGTTTGTGGATAATTGGGCATGCTGTAAAGCACATGAAAGAAAAGGAAAAAAATATAATTATGGCAAACAAGCATGGTCAACAGACAGGAAAGCAAAGCAGGAAACAGGAGATGTGTGGAAACTGAATGGAGAGAGCAAGAAAAGTACCTTAAATATACCAGCACTTGCCCTACACTCATATATTGCTATGCCATACTAGAAATACAGAATACAAGTACAGAGCAGCTGCTTGGATACATAGCGAAGCACTCTTCTGCATCTGTTACGTCAGTCACCACACTGGTTCTTCACTGAGACATCAGCTTTAAATAATTGATGGCTTCAGTAGTGTTAAGGCAGCTTTGACTGACACACTAGCATGAGCATGCATTCCCGTATCCTGGTACACACACACACACACACACACACACACACACTGTTCCCCTCAAATGTCAAGGCCAACAAGTTCATAATCAACAAAAGGGCTGGCACAGGAGCCATCAGACAAACACATGCTGACATGCCCAGACACACATGAAAACTGTTTAGAATCGACACGCTATTAAAAACAGTATATACTTTTTTTTTAAATCACCAAGAAGAGGATATCTTAGATATTAAAAACAACACAGAGCTCCAGAGGTGCAAAGTGCATTTTACTCAAGTATTGTGCTTGAATACTGTTTTAAAGAAATTGTACTTTTAACAGGTATTTATATTTTAGAACTGCAACATTTCAAATGTCCTGACATGACTGGTTCCTGACAGTTTTCTTAATTAACTGATAAATTACGTGGTCTATTAAATGTGAGGAAGTACTGGGGAAAGAAACTCAATATAAAAGCCCTACATTCTCACAATGGAAATGCTGGACTTCACAGAAATGTAGGATTTCTGCTTGAAAAGTGAAAATAATCAAGTGGCAGAATAGTTTACATGATTTTCCTGTAACTGGAAAATTTCTTTCAACCATTACAAACATAATGTGCTCCTTTACATAAATCTAACTGGCTATATAAAGAACTTAAAGCTCCATGGGGCATTCATTTGATGAGTAGGCTCTCAAATTGTTTTGTCTGTCTGCATGATTTAAATTATTATTTTTTTTAATCAACACTATTTTATGAAGGAGTAAGTGCATTCAGTACAGACAAGGGCATGCACACTGTGGTTTACTGAAAAGCACTGAATGTAAACATTACTCTTGTTTACAAGAAAATTCCATAGAGCGTCATTAAAATTAGATCCACCTCAACCAGCTATATGAAAAGCTGCTTATATTCATGTTAAAAAAATAAAAATATACCGACATCGACAGAGATCACTCTGCCTCTAAATGGGTACTTGATATTGGTACTCTTGATATTTTAAGTACATTTAGCTCATAATACTAAGTCATTCATTTTTGTATGGATGCTGAATCAGCATCCATACTATGTTATCCTGGTCTTTATTATTATTGTATGGATGGTGATTTATATTTTAATCCAATTTAAGATTCTGCACCGCCTTCATTTCTCTAAAGAACAATTACACAAAATTTATCCTGAGGTATCTCCCATATGTGATAAGTGTTCCTCTGCAGAAGATATGTTAAGCCACAGTTTTGCTCTATGTCTCCAAGTTCAAAAATATTAGATTGATATTTTCGATTTGATATCCAAAATTCTCCATATACAGCTGAAACTTGAACCTTTGCTGATCATTCTAGGAATGTCTGAAGTTGCTGTATCTTTGACCAGACCGCAGCAGTGCTTCCTCTCTTATTGTATTATCATTGCGAAAAAGTTACTTCTTATGTACTGGAAGAAAAAAGATACACCTTTAAAGTTGTGGCTTAGTAATCTTGCAAATACACTTTGCCTTGAAAGAATGAGGTACACTCTCTCAGACAGACTTCCCTTTTCCAATAAAATCTGGATGCCTCTTTCCAATTTTCTTACATCTACAGTTAACTAATCAGACTTGTATGTGGCAACTGGGGGCGTGGGGGGGGATGGATATGTTTTGCTTCACGAAGTTCTATTGTTTTATTTTTGTTACTTGTAGAATTGAAAATAGAGCAAGAAAAGATTTCTTTATGCTTCATGCTTGTACAATCTAAACCTTGCTCAATAAAAACTTGATGGAAAATCAATGCCCTGACTGAGGGAAGGAGGTTCTCACCCAAGATTTGACGGTACATGGCCCCATCCATCCTCCCTTTGATGCGGTGCAATTGTCCTGTCCCCTTGGCAGAAAAACACCCCCAAAGCATAATGTTTCCACCTCCATATTTGACAGTGGGGACAGTGTTTTTGGAGTCATAGGCAGCATTCCTCCACCTCCACACACGATGAGTTGATGCCACGAGGTGAGATCTTGCATGGAGCTCCAGACCGAGGGAGATTGGCAGTTAATTTATGTTTCTTCCATTTGCGAATAATCGCACCAACTGTTGTCACCTTCTCACCCAGCTGCTTGGCGATGGCCTTGTAGCCCATTCCAGCCTTGTGTAGGTCCACAATCTTGTCCCTGACATCCTTGGAAAGCTCTTTGGTCTTGGCCATGGTGAAGAGTTTGGAATCTGGATTGATTGATTGCTTCTGTGGACAGGTCTCTTTTATACAGGTAACGAGCTGAGAGGGCTCCCAATGTCAGCTCGTTACCTGTATAAAATACACCTGGGAGCCAGAGATCTTGCTGACTGATAAGAGATCAAATACTTATTTCATTCATGAAAATTAGTTTATAACTTTTTTTGTAATGCATTTTTCTGGAATTTTTTTGTTATTGTTGTGTCTCTCACTGTTCACATAAACCTACCATTGACATTGTAGACTGATCATTTCTTTGTTAGTGGGCAAACTTACAAAATCAGCTGGGGTTCAAATACTTTTTTCCCTGACTGTAGCTTTTTTCAGCAAAATTTTTCCCATTCAAATGAATGGGCAAAATTTTCACATCTCAATATCTTCAGCATACCTTCAGCTAAAAACACAATTTCAACTAATAACTATTCGGTAACTCTTTAGCTATTCATACTGTAAACAACTTTTTGATTTTTTTTTTTTTTACAGTTTTTGCATAATTACCATTTACATTTGATGTCGCATTTCAATATCCACACTAGTATTTTTCAGTGTGTAGGACTACTCTTTCTTTCTCATACACACACATAAACATAGACACACAAACACCTACACACCCACACACAACCCTAATTGTTTTACCTACTTTGCGGGGACCAATCGGTAAATATTCACATCTTAATAAGTTCAGTATACTTCGAATGGCTACAAAAGCCATTCGGGTATCAAAACTACATTATTGAGGGTATGTAAGAAACAATATTACTCTAAAGTATTAGAGGATAATAAAAATAACACGAAAGGTACTTGGAATATATTAAATAAATTG